AACCCAAAATTTTCGCTTAATCGAGAATTCAGGTCTGGAACTTAATTTCTCGATGGTACCCGAATTTTCGTGACACAGGCCCAAGTTCGCTCAGATTGCGGTCGATTTTGACATCTTATCTACCACAATATTCAACCACAACTGACTTGCGCGAAAAAAACCATATTGAGAAATAAATTGTTAAGGAAAATATAGAGTAAATTGTATTCAGTTGAACTATAGTTTTGAATAAAAGTTGTTATACATAGGTTTCCATACATTAACTCTTTACCACTCATAGCCTTTCCGTGCGAACCATAAACATGCAACATCACGCACCACGTTGTAAACGTAATGGAACGGGAAAATACCACGTGATACAAAGATTACGTATGGGCAGATTGGTTGATGACGTATGCTGCGACTTCCTTTTCTACAGTTGAATCCCAGTAAAAATAATTATTACAAGCTCAAGAAAACCATTAGCATTAATTTTACAAGTTTATATTCTAAAAGCATAACACTGTATAACGGTATCATTCTTTCTGTGAACGCCACGTGCGTTTTGTGTCGCGTGAAGCTACTCACGTGACCCTGAGGACCGAAGAAACATAATCGTTTGTTATTGTTATTAGCAAAGCGGGTTGTAAAAAGCAAGTGTCACAAATTGTTTGTGAATGAACCTGATATGAAAATAATTATTATTGCCAAATAAATGCTTGATGACACTATATTCACAATCTGTGTCTATAGACGCCGAACAGTGACAACAACCTTCAGTCTTTACATAGGCCTACAGTACTGCAACAGGTGTGGACTTCCGAAATCGCAAGTCTGGTTTGCACAGAGTGAAGTCGAGCGGCGCTAAATATGGCCCTTGGTCGTTATAATATTATCCTCGCCATAATCATGAAGCAAAATGCTACGCTTAAAAAAAAAAAAAAAAAGTATAAGGACAATAATTGAAATTAGGTTCATGTTTCGCGTGAATTGTGTTTATGCTAGGTTGGGATTACCGTTCCACCATCATATAATGCTATCGCCTCGAACTTCCTGTTAATTCATCGACCCGGCCCGAAAGAGAAATGTGAACGTTCGTAGGGCGGCCCTGGGCCGACTTAAATAATAACTATGTGAACGGAAAATTTGTTTGAGTCGGCCGTATTTAAGGCGTGATTGGGCTTTTAGTTAAACTTTGACAAACTATTATAGAAAGTTTCATTGATACCCATTGAAAATGTTGTAAAGATATTTAGGTCTAGAACCTCAAAAATTGAAATGACCCTCAAATTCACAACATGAACTGGATCGTCCCCACCACATAATAACGTATTCCTTGTAACTTGGTTAAAATTTCCCGAATATTACATTCAGATCAGTTGATCCGTTGTTTTCTTTTTTTTTTTAATCTGGTATTGGACGTTTTTCTTTGAATGGTCTTCAGATCAAAATATAAATGACCCTCAAAATTACACCCTGAATTAACTGGATCGTTCCCTCTGTAAATTGGTGAACTTTCCTGAAAGTTTCATTCAAGTCAATTGATCCGTTTTTGAAATATCTGGTGTAGACTGACTGTCATTAAATCACTTTAATTGGTCCTCACATGCACACCTCATCCTAGATTGACACCAAATATTAGGGGGCACATCCTTGATAAATAGTCTATGCTTCTTCAAAGCATGGAAATGTTCCAAGCAGGGGAAGTGACCAAAGTGCCGGTCAGAAAACCCCAAAAATGATAGGGAAAAAGTATGTAAGAAAAAAAGAAAAAAAATGAGAAAAAAAAAAAACAATGGCTTTTTCCAGCTAATGCTGGGAAAATCCAATAATAATAATAATAATAATAATATTAATAATAATCTCTAACACTTATCAATGAATCTAAATGAAACTTTTCAAAATAATTTTCATGTTTCAGTAAAGGAATTTTTGTGACGATTCTGATAGGGTGTGGATTCAAAGGAAAACGTCTCTGACCAAATATTTCAAAAACTGATCAACTGATCTGAATGATAGTTTCGCGAAGATTTAAACAAGTTACAAGGAAGAAATGAATAAAGTTTGGTGACGATCCAAATTCGGGTGCGAATTTTGAGGATAATTAAAAATGCTAAGGTCCCAGACCCTAATAGCTGTAAAAATGTATTAATGGATCTAAATGAAACTTACCAGAATAGTTTGTTATGTTTCAATGAAGACATTTTTTATTATTGTTTTTATTATTATTATTATTATTATTATTATTATTATTATTATTATACTTCCTGATGCTACTTTTATTGCTATTGTTATTTTCATTTCAGGAATAACTGAAGTATATGCAACCACTTTGTTAAAATATGGCAACAACCAAAGGTAGACAAAATTAAGTTGATTTAAACATGATTTTATTAATGTTAATGTAATTTCCTATGAAAAGATTAAATAAAGTTTATCTATATACTTTTTGAAGTTATTGTGTAAATTTAAATGAAAATATTTAGTATTATTTATATCTAAAAGATAATGTAGGTAACAAAATTTAAAATGTGAAATTACCTGCCTACACCATTGGCACTGTTGAGACAAGCGGTAGTTCACGCATGCGTCTTTAAGGCGTTCTTCCACTGGTAGTCAGGTATAAAAAAAATACCTATTTCATGCATAATATCTAACTAATGTGGACCCATCTTTTAAAAGGTGAACCCATTTTAAACTTAATAATAATAATAATAATAATAATAATAATAATAATAATAATAATAATAATAATAATAAAAATAATAACGTATTTATATAGCACCTAACAGATTACAGATCCCTCTAGGCGCTTTACAATTCTTAATTTAATTTAATTTAATTTATTTTAATATAGACCACTTTAAAAGTTTGGATCCATTTTACACCTAAAATATAACTAATGTGGACCCACATTTTGAAAATTGGACCCATTAAAAAGATTACATAATTTATACATAAAATCTAAATAATGTGAACCTATCTTTTAAAATGTGGATCCATCTCATGCGTAGAAACTTATACATTTTTGGGACCCATTTTACACATAAAATATAACTAGTGTGGACCAACCTTTTAAAAAAATGGACTCATTATAAAACTTTACGTATTATGTGCCTAAATTCTAACTTTTTAATTCCATCTTTTGAAATGTTGACCAATTTCCAGCTTTTTTACCTCCTTTTCCCTTTGTATAAAACTAAATAATGTGCACCGTTTTAAAATATGGGACCCGTTTTAGCAATTAAATGAACACACATTTTAAAAAGTAAAGCAATTGAACAAGTTTTACCTAATTTATGTATTAATGTAATTAATTTTTGCTCTGTAATTATAAAGAAATGTGAAGACATATTAAGCGGAATAGCCCCATAGGTGACCAGTGCTACCGGCTGCTACCGGTCTTAAAACTAACTATTTAGTATTCTTACATTGATGCAAACACAATTGTAAAATGCAAATGGAATCAACATTCACTTTCTTCTTTTATAGGAATATCTAAGGAAAAATTCAAACTTCTTAAATCGGATGTGTCACAATGGTATGACGACAACAGATGTCTTCCTATGTTGAAAGTATTGTACAGAGATCTCGTGAACTTAAGTGAACTACCTAAAATTACAGATACGAAGGGCTTGCTGGATTATTTGGATACTAATGGTTATCTGCGTCAGACAGATCTTAGTATTATATATGACACCATCAACATGACTGGAAAGTATGGTCTTCAATATAAGATTAAAGAAAACCTAGAAACATTTCCTGATGTTAAGGAAATACAAATTTCTTCAACATTTAAGGACCACAGAAAGAGGCTAATGAAATTTGGCATGCGCCTTACTCCAAACGATGTGAAAAGGATAGATGGATTGATTAATACACCTAATCGTAATTATCCCGACAGCTGGAGCATGATCACTCATCTGGAAGATAAGAAAATAATAACTACTTTTGGTAGGCCTATCACTTAATCGAAATAGATAGACATATCCGTGTCAAAGGGTATAATTATTGTTTAATAATGGCTATATAAAATTCAATTGACTAACTATAATTTTTTGAAATTAGGGAAAACAGTAATCCTATGTATTTAGATAATATTAAACCTGTCTCTTATACACATCTCGGTAATATAGGCCTACATATTTAAGGGGACACTTTTTTTGTAACACAACAATTACAATAACTCAAAATAATAATGTATTCAGTTTATATTTTAAACTATAACTTAACATAAAACCAGATTTTTTTTTAATTTCTCATGATCCTTAACATAGACATCGGTAGGCCTATAGGCTTGTGTCCTTGGAAAAGGCACTTTACTAGTACGTTCGCCTCTCTCCACCCAGGAGTATATGGGTATGTGGTAGGATCATGTGGCATTGCAAGTATTAGTCTGTGTCGTCATTAAATTACATGCATGACTAGGAATACTCCCCTGGGAGTGGAGAAGGTTGCACTTTGTGCTGGTTCGATTATGGATCCGTTGACCAGGGGTAATAATAACAACATCGCCAGCGCCTTGTATCACTTTTCAAAAGGCGCGGTATAAATCTCTATATTATTATTTTTCATTATTATTATTATTATTATTATTATTATTATTATTAATATAAAAAATAATAATAATTATATTAATAATAATAACAATAATAATAATAATTATTATTATTGTTATTATTATTATAACAATAATATTAATAATAATAATACATTATTATTATTATAAATATTATTATTATTAGGCCTAATACATGTGTCATTTTGTATAATTTTTTTTTACCAATAGATAACGGAATTAATTTGTGTGTTCTTGTGTTATACGTTCATATAGAATTATAATTATAATTATTAGAATTATAAATGCTAAAGTTATATTTCAATTATAAATAAATCAATTAAAGAATAGGAGGTAAAAAGGCATTACTTCAGCAGTTAAGTGAAAGGACCCATGGTATAAAAGGTTCCTTTTACATTGAATTTTATCTATATTTTATGACTCCTAATATTTTTTGTCTTATGCTAGACTTACATTCACACTCAGTTCGCAAGCGAACAACTGGAACGGAATCCCAAGACGAAGAGCCTAAAGAAAAAAGCAGACGTGTTGCACCTATTCCAACGTCTGGTAACACTTACTTATTGGATTTCGCCTTTAGAATTATTGCTTTTTGGGTTTAAAATTATTGCTTTTTGGGGGCTGGGGGCGCAGTTTGAAAATGTTGCTATAATTTTCGCCGACTGCCTGCCAGCATTATTTGTTTAAATTATGACTTAATTGATTATATAACATTGTATTACTCTGATGATAAAGGCCTATTGCTTTGAAATGAATTAATTGTAGATTATAACAAATCGACTAAAGTTAGTATACCATTTATCTTTCAGAAATCGGCGAAAGTAGTTCCCAAAATGTAAGTGATTTTTTTGTTTTTGTTAATTTGTTTATTTCTCCTCTTTCGTCTCAATATAATCTATTGTACAATGTATTTTGTTTTTATAATAATGCAAATGCAAGTCGTAATCTGAGTCTGAAATGTCTAAGAAATGGGGAGAAATTATTAGTCGCCGTAATTTACATCCAAAACTAAGAGTGTAGGGCCTATCGCATTTAATTTCCGCTGGATTGATATTTTAACTATAAACTACAATTATTTTAACGCAATCCTAATACTTACTGCAGCTGTATTATTACTTTATAGACTAGATATCAAACACTTACTAGAAAAAAATAAGAAACGTTAATTGTTTAGGCCTATTCATTTTTATGATTGTTTTGTAGAAGAAGGGGTATATAATGGTAAGCTACTCCTGGAACAACAAAAAGTAAGTTACCTACATTATAATAATGGTATATACAATTATATTACTAATTTGTGATGATGATGATGATGATGATGATGCGATGATGATGATGATGATGGTGGTGGTGGTGATGATGATGATGATGATGATGATGATGACGATGATGATGATGATGATGATGATGATGATGATGATGATGATGATGATGATGATGTAGAGAACCGTAAGGATAATGACGACAATAACATGACGATGTTGAAAAAAAATTATTGTCGATGTAACAAATGGTCTGGCACAGCGGAAACGGTTTGGTTAACCTCGAGGTCGGGGTTTCAATCCCTCGCTATACATTTCGTTTGTGTCCTTGAGAAGGCATTTTATGCATTGCTTCTCTCTACCCAGGCGTATAAATGCATAAACATTTAAGCACGTGGACCCAATGACCAGGGAAATGAAACGCTTTGTATTTACAAAGAAAAGGCGCTATAAAACTAATATATATAATAAATAAATACAACATAATAGGCCTATAAAAACATCAACATGCAAATTTGAAACGAAAACAATTAATTTGTGATCGTCAATTAGCACAAAACAGCACTGTAAGAAGCGTTGTATAGACATAAACCGATTTTAAATCTGTTTTTATTTATTTTATAAAGTATACCATATATTATTCGATCTTGTAGAAAAACGTATGATGCCTAGTACTTCAAAATCAGAAATATTTTTATATTAGTCGTAGATCATAGTTATCCGACAGAGAGTTTATCTTATCAAATTCATTTTGCTGTTAAATTTCTAACTAAATAAAGGTTCTTAAGACAAGACAAGCACATGTCAACTTATACTTCTGGACTCGTATTATAGACTGATTGGCCGTAGTGAAACAAGGACCTCTAACTCTAAGGTGTCATTTGTCATTGTCAATGTCATTGTTCTAGTTTTAATTTCTATTTATGGAATTGTGCCTAAATACTTATATTTCGTAATCTACGAACAGGCGGTGCACTGCCCCATCTCTTAACGTCGTTTTCGTTCATTTGTGTAGTACAGAAGACCATACCTTACCTTACATTACCTTACCTTACCGCTCCTTTTTCCTAACTGTGGAGATTGAGGCTTTGTTGAGTAAAGTTTTTCCATTTCTTCCTGTCTCTGGCCACTGCTGAAGCTTCACCCCAGCTTCTCCATCCAAATTCATTTCTTTCTTTTTCGGTTGTTCTTCTCCAGATTTGGCCTTCCTCTTATTCTTCTGCCTTCTGGGGTCCACATGATAGCATGTCTGGCATAGTTACCATTTTCTTTTCGAAGGAGGTGGCCAATCCATCGCTATCTCCTCTCAGAATACAGTACCTATCGAAATTGTACCAAGAAAGTCCAACAGTCAAGACCAACTTAAAACATGTATAGGCAGATTTTCTCCGGTCTTATTTCACATAGGCCTAACTAAAATATGAGCCGTTTATTTTTAGTTCATTTCAATAAGAAAATTAATAATGAATACAAAACTCGTTTGAACTGTTAGAATATTTTAAACACACAACTACTTATCAACATACCCACTGAAATAATAATTTAAATAGATTTTATATGGTTTTGTAAAAATCGATAATAGTCAAATGATGGCAGTGACGTAGTCGTTTTTCTTTCTTGTGCTGTTATTGGTATTCATTATATAATTTGTAATTATATATAATTTTAAAGCGTCGTATACAGGATAAGCCAACGTTTGGAAAATGATTACAAGATATGGATTGATAAAACGAAGTTGGTAGGGCATATTGACGAAGCCATGGCTAAGGCTGTTAAGGAAGTTGACCTTGTTTTAGTCTGTTTATCAAAGAAGTACGAAGAGAGTGATAACTGCAAAGCAGGTAATGGTCTTTACAATAAAATTTAAATTCGAGAATTGATAATGTAACTTATCTATTTGTTTATATTGTGTTTGCAGTGTTATGCGGCAAACGTGATTTGAATAATATTAACTATTTCCGAGCTGCCTCTGTACTGGGATGAGTTGAGGTAAAGGCAATAAATAATGCGGAATATAGTGAGGGTAATTAAAGACTGCAAAAATCCGGCCAAATGCTGTAAGATAGATATTGATAAATCGGGTACCGTATATATATTATAAACAGTTGAAAAAACACAGACATTCCCACAGTATGCCGACTGCATAGATATAGCTTATAAACAAACAGTATATTGTCAATAATAGAATCAGAATATAAATTAACAGATAATGGAATAATGCTACATGATAAAACAGAGCATTAAGTGAGTCGCAGTGTATAGAAGTATAAAACATGCAAATATATATATATATATATATATATATATATATATAATAACATAGTAATATATAATAACACACAAATAAACATATAAATATGTAAACATGTAATATGTAATATATATATATATTGTGACATTTGTCATTGTGATTCTCAGAGGTTCGTTGCATTAAAGAATTTAAGAAAGCTTCTCTTCCACTAAAGATGGAAAAATACGATGTAGATAGCTGGGTTGCAGCCACTTTCGGCCGAGAGCTATATGTAGATTTTTCAGATGAGTCGAAGTTCGATGAATCGTTTAAAGATTTGCTGACACGTCTTGATTTAAAGTTTGCAAGCATGGTAATAATATTATCTTTTACATGACATAAGTCAAACTTCAAGCTTAAAACTCATATTTAAGCCCTACTTTCTTACTTTTAATGTTTTAGAGCTATTAATATTGTATTGA